ACTACAACTCGTCATGTTTGACTGTCATCGATATGGTCTAGCAGCACAAAGCCAAAGACCTTGAGTGATTTTAGAGTGGACACGAGCTTTAAATTCGTAATTGTATATTCATTCATTGATCCATGTGTGGGACATTAAAAGTGCCCCCACACACACTTCAATACCTTCAATTTTCTTTGTCCCGTTTTACCCCAATGGCTTAAATCCTTCAAACAAAGATTCAAAAGGGATAAGAAGAGAAACTTAACAAGAGTCTAACTCATAGTGAACGACACTTATAAGATCCATCAAAATCTTTAACCATAAAAAAAGATTATCAGCAGTTTTAGATAACAGTAGCTCAAGATTATCAAATAAAATCTCCATCACTAGTTAGCAAAGCCAAACTTCCTTTTCCATTCTTTGGATATTTTAAACACCAAAGAATCAAACTTGGGTTAAGTATATAATAAACTCAAAAGTAAAAATGGTTAGAAACCAGAAAACTGATGAATCAATCTCTGCGACTCTGCAAAGAATCCTCCAGATCAAGATCAACCCCAACACGATTCCTAATCGATGCGTTTGCGTGGCACGAAGAATGCGATGAAGAAGAAGAGCATGATGTTATCTTCCACTTCTTCTCAAGTTCTTTAAACCTCTCAACATCAAACTTACGACTCTTGAGCAATTTCCTCTGCCTCGAAAGAAACAATCTCTTCATGAAATCTTGATACGTTGGGTCTCTCGAAGTCAGCAAGAAATAACCATAACCCACAATAATCCCAGTAGCTGTAGTGAAAAACGTAATGGGTTCCATAACATCCCATGAGAACTCCCAGAAAGTTAATCTAAAAAACAGCCCGATTTGAACCACTGAGTAACCAAGACCACACCATAGAATCTTCCTCACTTGCTTATGAGCTTGCACATCGATCTCTTCCTTTAAACTCCTAAGCTTATCGAATTCGTCTCTAATTGGATCATCCTCAAGACTAAGACCTAAAGGCACTGCTTTTCTAATCAGATCCACCACCTGCAAAAACACCAAAAACAAGAACCAATTTCAGAGAAATTAGGGTTTTTCGAAAGAGGGGTTTTTAAAATATTGCTCATCCGACCTTATCTGGATGAAGATAGACTTTATCCCGGAAAATCAAAATAACACCAGCGTCTTCAAGAACACGAGCAAAAGCGTGAGCTTCATCGAGAGATCTAGCGATTCCTAAACCTTGAGACGCATCAACGAGTGTAGTGTAAGAGACAACTTCTTTATCAGCCATACCAATAAGCTTCTTCTTCATCTCATCAACATTCACTAATCTCATCAGCTTCTTCGCTTCCGCCATAGTAATATCCTTTTTTTTCTCATCATCTTTCGCCGATTCTGCAGGCGATTCGACGGTGAGACACCTGCAACCACCGAGCAATGTCCTTACCGGAGAAGCTTTACTCGCGGTGGACATCGCCGTACGTCTCACCATACTACCCATCACCGACCACATCTCTTTCTTACGATTGGACCCACGAAACTTTTTCTCCTATCTAATCAGATCTGGATTTTGTGAAAGCGAACATTGAAATCAAAGGTGGGGATTAGAAAGCTCTTAAGAAAAAAAAAAAGGTGTAAAGAGAAAAAAGGAAAACATCGAGATTCGATTCGATTCGATTCAGACGCACTGTGTAACGCGTTCCACCAAGAAAGTGGAGGTCAAAAATAGTAATGCATTGATAATAAGAGGGAAGGAGGAAGCTGTGTAATGCTTACTTTACTTTCTGGTGTTAGAAAAGTTTTTGGTCGCCTTTTTTGACTTAGCCATGGCTTTTACAAATCATCCTTAATTCCAATTTCCTTTTTTTTTTCCTTCTCTTAAATAAATAAGGAGAGTCTGGAGGCATTTAGGGTTGGGCGAAAAATCCAGAAAATAAAAAGGAAGATTTGGTTCGATTTTAGCCTAACCGGAGTAATTGTTCGATAGGGTTTTACTTTTTTATTCATAGTCTTCTAGAGTAATTCCTCTTCGACCAAAAAAAAGTATTAATTCTTTTTTTTTGTTTAACACGAGTATTAATTGCTCCTTATTGTTTTACGTTTGTCGTACAAAGAGGAGATAAATGGAAAATTTCTCAAATTTATCCACTTTTGAAGGAAATTAAAAAAAAAAAAAGCCAAGAGAGTAATGTGGTGAATATATTCGTAATCTCAACAAAATTATGGAAAACAAAGAGGTGAATCTTCTCAAAGATAATGTTATTGCCGACATAAAACTGTGGAGTGAGAGATTTGCTAGGAGATAAGGGAATACGCAAGCAGATTGGTTGTGGCCAAATGTGGTTTAAGAAGCATAACATCTTGTTAATGTTTACTCTCTTTTTGTTTTTGGAAATGTCAAATTTATTTATCAAGAGAAAGTTACTTACATGGTTACTTTTTTTTTCTTTTTAACATATGGTTTTTACTAAAAACAAATTGAGATACAAGTTGAAATAGATAGCTGCCATTTACTCAATTCCATAAACATAGCCGGTACTAGGG